CCGCTTGTTCAACCTGTACACATCAGATCAACCCACTACCAAATTTTCCACCACTTGTTACTTTGCTGATGAGAATTTTTTCTCTGCGTAGTACAAAAAGTAGGGATTCAAACTYAACAAATCTAAATCCATCCTCTGCACAGTCACACTCAGATCCATAAGCTACCCCCTCTCCAACATATTCAGTAATCAATCTCTCTCAACTGTCCAAAATTTYCGTTACCTAGGTCTATATCTAGATTATCATCTCACATGGGCTACCCTCATACTCAACAAACGACTAGTTCTCTACAATTGTCTAAGACAGCTTYGCCACTTCCTCTTCTCATCAAAACATGTCACACTACATAACAATATTTTTATCTACAAACTACTTCTCAGACCTATCTGGTCGTACGGAATTCAACTCTGGGGATCAGCTAAAGACTCAAATATAAATAGAATCTAAAAATGTCAATCCAAATGTGTCTGGTGTATTATCGAATGATACTCTCCACAGGGACCTGCTCATTCCGATTGTCAAAAATTTTGTCAAAACTCTATACAAATGCTTCCACCGAAACCCCCTCAATCAAAACTCTCTTCTCGAACAATCYCAGGTTACCCTGGAGGCTTGGACGATGTTTCAAGTGTAACTGGTGCCATGACTTATTAGTCAACTAACCACTACCCACACCATGAAATACTATTATTGAACATTTCTATCACGTCAACCAAGCCATCTTATGTATTCCTCAATCTATTACTTGAACTTTATCTTTTACTTGTTGTAAAAATATTTTATACAGATTGAACAAATTAAAATAAATTTGACAAAATTATTATTATTATTATTATTATTATTATTGCCAGTTTAATATATTTACCAATTTATAATTATTTATTAGTCATACTATTATAATTTATACATTAAATTGTTGTGTTGTGTTAGGTATATAAGATGTGTTAAATATACATTGTTGTACATGACTTATTTTTAAACAATTAATAGAAATCTTTAGTGTTTTTTTTTTTTCAGTAAAGCTTAGGTATTTATTTTAAAATATTTTACAGCCTGTAAGATTTAAACTCAATCATGCTGGAAATAATGGAAAAAATACTACGAGTGATAAAGATTTTTCTGTGTGGTTGGGTGAACTTAGCTCAGATGTAGATGACTATCAATTATATAAAACATTTGCTTGCCGTTATCAATCTATACGTACAGCTAAAGGTAATACTTAAAAATGTAAAATAATGTTCATTGTCATTAAAAATATTGTCTATAAATATTAAACACCATGTYTACTATAATAGTAGTTTAATATATAGTTATAACTTTTCAGTGGTCTTGGACAGTGCTGGTTACAGTAAAGGATACGGATTTATTCGTTTTGGCAGTGAAGAAGAACAAAAGCATTGTCTTAACAATATGAATGGTTTTCCAGGTCTTGGTTCTAAACTAATTAAGGTTAGCAGTGTCATACCAAAATCAGAACGCCATATTGTTGTGTAAGATGATTTCATTGTTTTGTTATTTTTCTAAATTTATTGTTAAGTGTGGACCTATAAAATTACAAAATGAATCTATTAACTAATTTTATTTTTTTTATTTTTACTAAAATGATTACAATACTGATTATATTTTAAATGGTGTATCTTAGTTTTTATATTTTTACTTAATGCTTAAACTATGTAAATTAAACCATGCTTTGTAATTGAAATATTGTAGAAGTTCTTAGAATTCTTATCAGTTAGAACCAAATATTCCCAAAATCAATTGTTGTTGTACTCCAAAATATTGTATAGTAGACAAAACTTAAGTGTTTTTTTATTCAAAACATTCTTTTAGTTCATCATCTCWTGTTGATATTTGAAATAAATTGTACAAGAAAATAGGATTATTAAAATTCATACATTTAGGTTGTAATAAAACCAGTTCTTTAATAGGTTATCAAATTTTATACTTTTTATTACTTTTATCTCATACCGATAACACTCATTTAATCTGGGATACAAATAATACCTACAGTAGAGCCTTGATAGTCCGGTGAACGCGGTAATCCGGACAGCAAAATTCCATTTGTTAGTAAATAAATTTTACGAGAATTCTTGCAACCCAATTAATCTATAAAATATTGTTATCGACAAATACAATTTCGTCATTTTTATTA